TTTTTTTTAATTTTAAGACAGTGTCTTACTGAGTTGCCAAGCTGACTATGAACTCACTGTATGGCCCAGGCATGCCTTGAACACAGCTCCTCCTGCCTCAGTTTCCCTAGCTGCTGAGGTCACAGGCCTCTGCCACCATGCCCAGCTTCACTGTGGATCATAATGCGGTTCTGTAGCAAAGCATAAAGCACTGTGCGTATGCAAAGACGTTCTTAGCACTGCTTAGTAGTGTCTGCTTATGCTTCATGTTAATCTGTAGATGCTGGACCCTGTGACATAGCTTTTTAAAAACATATACAAAATTTACTAGATGGCATGATGGCTTAACGCCTTGTAATCTTAGCCTTTGAGAGGCTGAGGCAGGAGAATCACCACAAGTTTGAGGGCAGCCTGAACTGTATTGCAAATAACAGGTTACCAGGACTATATAATGAGACCCTGTCTCAAAAAAAAAAAAAAATTCATTGAATTGTTAAAAATTCATTGAATTGTTGTCCAGCTTGCAGTAGCAACAGCAGTATTCAATAAGGGTCTTAAAACTTGAACATAAGTTCTAATACAGGCTTTATTTCTAATTAATCCTCAGGAAATTATTATTGGTAGTATTAATTTTTTTAAAGGCAGTCTCACTATGTAGTCCTGGCTGGCCTGGAACTCACTTATATAGACCACATTGGCCTTGAGCTCTCAGAGATCTGCCTGCCTCGAACTCTCAGGTGATGGTCTTAAAGGTATGTGCCATCATGCTGGGCAAGAAAATTTTTTTTTAATTTTTTTATGTGTATGAATGTATTGCATACATGTATGTAAGTGCACCTGTGTTGTACATTGCCCACAGAGGTCAGAAGAAGCTTCAGATCCCCTGGAACTGGAGTTATGGACAGTTGTTAGCTGCCGTGTGGGTGCTGGGAACTGAACCCAGGTCCTCTGTAAGAGCAGCTAGTGCTCAACCACTGAGCCATCTCTCCAGCCCCAAGAAAATTTTTATAGCTCTTGTGAGTGCTTGCTATATGCCCAGCACTTTACAAAATACATTCCTTTAACAACCCTACAGGGCCAGTACCAATATCCTCATTTTAGAGGTGAGGAACTTCAGGCTCGGGTTAGCTTTCTTGTGCACCCACACACTCTGTGAACAACGCTCTCGTTCTTTGCAGTCCTTTACTGAACACCTGGTGTGGGCATGTGAGTTTCTGGTACTGATTAAACAAAAATGAAAGCTTACCTCTGCTTGACCTGGAAGGTCATATTCTAAGTGAGGTAAGTTCTTTAATTATTGCCGGTGACAAATTTCAGAGTCAAATATAAAGTGCTAGAGAAAAAAGAGAGCCTTGCCTACAGCACCAGTAAAATTAGAAAAAAGAATGGGGAGGAGTTTGGCAATGGGCCCTTTGGGGGCTTAGTACTGTGGCTCGCATAGGCTTGAATCTCGGTTCTGTCACTTAGCTAACTAGGAGTACACAGACAGGTCACCTGTTCTCAGCCAGTTTTAGATTACGGGGATGGTAGTGATGGTAGTGACAGTTGCTCTTGAGAGCCAATGACCAGAATCTAAGCATACTTGCACTTAATGTAATACAGCTTTCACATTAGGAAATCTTCAAGGAAATTGTTGCAAAAACTATAATTTGGCCATTTGTGTTCTCTTCTTGCAGAATAGATACCACAAGAGTTGAGTTTACCATCCCACTGAGGGAGAACTGGGCACTGCCGTTCTTTGCAATTCAGATCGCAGCAATTACCTATTTCCTGAGACCAAACTTACAGTCTCTTTCTGAAGTAAGTTACTACAACACTTTAGTTTTGTTTATTTGTGTGTGTGTCTGTATCCGTGTCATGGCCCTTGTGTGGAGACAGAGGACAACCGATGGAGTCCGCTCCCTTCTATCATCCTGTGGGATCTGAGGATTGAACTCAGGTCAGACTTGTACGCAGTCACATCTACCCACTGAGCCATCTCACCAGTCCAGCCTTTCCAGAGCACGGTTTAATTCTCTAGTAGTATGTAAGAAGCTTTGCGAAATGAGATATGTACATGTTGTAGTTCATTTAAATAGCTCTTGTTCTATGACCAAATGTTTTACTTTTCTTTTTAAACATTATTTATTTATATTGTTGTTGTTATTATTCTGGTTTTTTGAGGGGCAGGGGGTTTAAGACCAGGTCTCCCTGTAGTATCAGCTGGCCTGGAACTTACTATGTAGGCCAGACTGGCCTTAAACTGCCTGCCTCTGCTTCCCCAGTGCTGAGATTAAAGGCATGCACCACCACATCTGGATTATTTTACACTATTTTTGAATGTGTGTATATTTGTGTGTCTATGTGTGGGTTTGTGCACGTGTATGCCAGGTACCCTTGGAGGTTAGAAAAGGGTGTTGGATCCCATGGAACTGGAGTTACAGGCAGTTGTGAGCCACCCAGGGTGGGTGCTGGGAACTGAACCCAAGTCCTCTTGAACAGTAAGCACTCTTAACTGCTGAACTGTCCCTCCAGCCCCAAGTTAAGTTTCTTTCTCTGAGCTTTTTCCTCCTTTGCAAAGAAAACATTTTTAGGTTTAAAATGTCCTCTTCATAATCTACCCTTAAATGGTTGCAGGGAACCCACACACAATTTCTGTGAGACCTAGAATTTTTAATAAAGCCCTTGCTCCTGAGATGTGGTTTGGTTTATTACGGCCTCCAGAACAGTGTGGAATGCACATGCTGTATGTATTTATATGAGAGTGTCACTTAAGAGTATTTAGAGCTTAAATAACAAATGCAAGGGTTTTCAGAGCCAGAGTTATGCCTTTTGTATTTGGTTTATGGATATAGTGGCTGGTCTTAAGAAAACGTGCCTGTTAGCTTTCAGTGTGCTGGAGGCATGTACATTACCCAAAGGTTTTCTTTTACAGAGGCTGACACTTCTTGCCATTTTCATATCAACTTTTCTCTTTAGCCTGGCATGGCAATTTAATCAGTTTATGATGCTGATGCAGGCGCTGGTGCTGTTCATCCTGGACTCCTTAGACTTGCTGCCAGCCGCAAAGGTGAGCATCACTGCGTCTCTCTTGGGTCGTGTTTCGTAGGCTGAGCTGGAAGCATGCAGTGACTTAATGACAAGTTGAAGCTCTTGCTTAGATCTGTGTGGACTGCCGGGATCAGCTGAAGCTGAGAGATGTGTGCAGCTGGGTTGGCAAGCTCAATTCTCTTTCTCTTTATTTCATGGTAAAAAGTGCATCTGTTCAGAGCATAGTCTAAGTCAGATGCCATTTATAAACATGATTTGCAACATAAAATACAGGCTAGCTTTTAAAATTTTTCTCAGTATGTATCCTCCCCTCCTCTCCCCTCTTCAAAGAACCAATAGGTATATAAGAATTCTTATGGGGAAGAGACTGTTTTGTTTTGAATTTTTGCAAGGATTTATTTATTTTTATTTTATGTGTATGAATGTCTTGCCTGCATGTATGTGCACCTTGTGTATGCAGGTACCTGCAAAGGTCAGGAGAGGGTATCAGATCCTCTGGAGTTGTGTAACACATGGTTTTGAACTGCCATATGTATGCTGGGAACTGAACCTGGGTCACCTGCCAGTGTTCTTAACTTCTGAGCCATCTTTCCAGCCCCTTGATTTGTTTTTTGGATTTTTTTTTTTTTTTGAGACAGGATCTACTCTAAAGCCCAGGTTGGCCTAGAACTAACTGTGTAGCCCGGTCTACACTGCCCAGCCTCAGTTTTCTAAGTTCTTGATTACAGGTATGAGCCACCATACCTAGCAAAACAAAACTTTATAAATTCTCAGAGTAACATTCTATTAACATAGAATAACATAGGATATTCCTGTTGACTGGCCAAATGCCACATGTGAAATAAGGAGAGCCATGTCTGTCTCCTAGTGTGTGCTGCAGTCACTTAATCATGGTTGGTTTGCCTTGACTTTTGGTTCTTGGCTTGAACTCTAGGCTTTGCATATGGTAAACCAGCATTCTACCACTAAGCTACATCCTAACCCTTTTCTGTTTTTCTGTTTTCTATCTCATTAAGTTGCCTAGACTGGCCTTGAACTGGCCATCTTCCTACTCCAGCCTCCCAAGTAGCTCAGATTACAGGCTTGTACCATCACACCCAGCTATTTGGAGTTGCTGTTTTAATTTTAATTTAAAAAATTTTTTTTTGTTTGTGTGCATGTATGTGTGTATTGTGTATATGTATGTGTGCCACATGAGTGCAAGTGCCCACATAGGCCAGAAGGGGGCATCGGGTTCCCTGGAGCTATAGTTCCAGGCAAGTGTGAGCTACCTGATACGGGTGCTGGAAACCAAACCTAAGTCTTCTGAAAGAGCATCAAGTGCTACTAACCTCTGAGCTGTCTCTCCAGCCCCTAATTTTTTTTAAATTTATTTTAATTTTTAAAAATTCTAAAATATTTTTATTTTATATGTATAAGTGTTTTGCCTGCATGTATTTAAGCGCACCCATGCATAGAATTCCCACACAGAGGCCAGAAGAAGCCATTGGATTCCCTGATATGAGTTCAGGATGATTGTTTGCTGCCATGTGGGTGCTGGGACAGAACCCGGGTCCTCTGCAAGAGCAGCCAGTGCTCTTAACCATGGAGCACCCTCTCTGCAGCCCCATCATTTTTTTTTAATTAATAATTTTTAGGTTAGCATACAAAGTGTTGTTTCACTGTAGCATTTTTGTAGTTATCTGTCAACAATTTGTTTTTTATATGTATAAACATTTTACTATGTTTCATACATTTAAATAACTTACTCATCACTAATAAGTACTTTCTAAGTAAAATACTATATGCAGAAATAGGCAGCATTGCAGCCCATGTAAGAGAGTTGGACTCTTTCTTCTGTGTCAAAAGAGATGCCCAAAATCTTGGGCACTGGCCAAGTCTAAATTAAGAAACATTAAGTCAGCCAACATTATACATTGTCTCTTAGTACAATAGGCATCATTAAGATGTTGCTCCATCTGAGGAGTGCCCCAGGTCTGAGAGTAAAGATACAGATAGCTGGAAAATGTGTCGACCTGCAGCTCTTGGGAGTGGCAGAGAAGGGTGCACAGAGGTGAGAGGGGGGCCAAAGCTACAGATGGGGAGAGGGTGTGGGTGCCCTATGGGGATCAGGGTGGGCAGGTCTCATGCAGTAAAGAGGCAAGCAGAGGAGACAAGGCAGAGTGTATAGACTGACTTTACCAATACTGGGTTTGAACCCAGGACCACACACATTCTGGTCAAGCATGTTATCACTGAGCTACATCCCTCAGCTAGACTTAACTTTATCCATCCACTTTTCAGTGCTTCTCCTGGTGTAAAGCAGTGGCCTCTTACATACTGTGACCTGCCATTTTAGATGCAGTTATAAAAATCTGGAAATGTCTTAAGTCAATAGCAGCACAGCACTCTTCAATGAATGAAGGCATTTCTACGCAGTTTTACAGTTCTATGTAACCGTTGCTTCTCCCATTAAATAAAACATACAGTATCAGAAAATCTTCCAAATAATAAAGTATATAATGAAATCTATAGTATTGTTAACTTTTTTTGAGACAGAGTCTCCCTGTAGCCCCAGCTGGCCTGTAACTCACTCTGTAGAACAGGCTAGCCTTGATCTCACAGAGATCCGCCTGCCTCTGCCTCCTGAGTGCTGGGATTAAAGGTCTACACCATCATGCCCCATTTCAGCAGCTGTATGGTTGATGGTCAGCATATTCTTTTTTTCTAGATCTTTTAATTTGTTTTTCTACAACGTATTTCTTTTAAAATTATGAAACACAATTACAAGTGCTCTTTTATCCACACAAAATTTTTTTTAAAATACTACAGCTAATTTAGCTTATATTTCATTCTGAACTTGGTTCAACTTTTGTATTTGAAATGATACTGGTGTTAGGAAGTCATAAATGCCTAATTGTAAGGATACATTGTAAGCACAGAAGGAGCTCCAGTTATGAAACCAAGTTGCTACTATCAGCTCTGAAAATAACTTGCTTTTGAAACTTTGGCAAGTGACTCAAATCCTAGGAGCCTTAGTCTCTCCATAAATTAGAATCACTCATCTTGAATCATGTCTGTTGGAAGCAAGTCAGAATAATTGGTGTAGAAAAAGGCAAGGCAGATTCAGAGTTTGGGTGGTGACAGAAAGCAGTTTCTTAGTACCTGGTGCTGTCTTTTTCCATGAAAATTGGAAAAACCCTTAACTGTAAAAGCTCAGGTCTTCAATCAGGAATACAAGCAAGGGTTTGGAAATGCAAAGCAGATTAGCAAATGGTATTAATAAACGTACTCTTCTTCATTAAAGCCTGAAATATAGTAAAGTTATATTAATGTATGTTGTATTTTAAAAGTTATATTAATCAATTGTGGAATTAAGGCATATCAGTGATACCTGGGAGGTTAATTATAAGGGGCTCAGAGGTTAAGAGTGTTTGCTGCTTTTGCAGAGGGCCCAAGTTCAGTTCTTAGAACCCATGGCAGGTGGCTTAGAACTAACCACCTGTAACTCCAGGGGATCCAACACCCTCTTCTGACCTCCGAAGGCACTGCACTCACACACACACACACATTGAAAAATTCCCAAATTTGACAAAAGATTTGAGCCTGCAGAGCCAGGAAGCTGAGCTAATATCAAGTAGGGTAGATTCAAGCAAAGCCACATCAGATCACCTCAAAACTAAACTTGTTTTATGTTTATTATTTGTGTGTGTGTGTGTGTGTGTATGTATGTATGTATGTATGTATGTTGTGCATGTGTCACTGTGCGTGAAGGGCAGAGATTCAGTCTGTGGGAGTTGGTTCTTTCCTTCCCCCGTGTGAATTTCAGAGATCTTCAGGCTTGGTGGCAGGCGCCTCCACTTGCTGAGCTATTTGACCAGCCCTCAGAATCAAACTTCTGAAGATTAAAGACAAAGTCTTGAAAGCCACCAGAGAAAAATAAGGCAATAAGACTACTTATAGGGAGGAATGGGACAACCTAAAGGGAAGGGAACTTAAATGGCTGTGAGTTCCTCATCAAAACCTGTGACTACTTGCAAGGAGGTGTCTTAGTTACTTTTCTGTTACTGTATTAAAACACTGTGACTAAGGGAAATTATAAAAAGAAGAGTTTATTTGAGCTTACAGTTCCAGGGGAATAGAGTTCATCATGGTGGGGGAGGCATGGTGGCAGGAGATGGCTGGAGCCGGAGCAGAAAGCAGAGGCTCACGTCTTCAAGCAGGCACAGGAAGCAGAGAGTGACTGGAGATCTGGTGAGACTTAAGAAGTCTCTAAGCCTCTCCCCAGCAACAGATTTCCTCCAGCATGGTCTGGGTAGAAGTGAGTCATTTGTAAGTCATGTATGAGTCATTTCCCCAGTGCCTGACACTTGATGAGTTTTAACAAATGTTAGCTGTTGTTATTATTAATGTTGATGGAGGACAGACTGCAGGATCCATTGGGGAAAGTTCCACTTACCTGACAACAGAATGTGTTCACGCCATCTGTTGCTGTATTATAATTATACCATAGAACCTTGGAAGGAACATCAGTGGACCCTCAGGAATCCAGGGCTCTCTCATGCATTACCCTGCTTGGTGTCTCTCCCGGTTGCTCACCAACAATACTTCTCTTGAATCTATTATATTGTCACCCATTTATAAAATTATCTGTTGTGTTACTAAGGAAAGTACATTTTTCTAGAAGTTTTCTGTTATAGTGAATTTTGATTGTCAACTTGACTGGATCTGGAATCAACTACAAAGCAAGCCACTGGGTACATTTGTGAATGGTCTTCTGGATCAGACCTTTTGAAATGGGAAGAAGGTTCACCTGAAATGTGAGCAGTGCCTTCTGGCCACAGCTCACATGAAAGGGAAATAGATGAATGAGCTTTGTATCTTCCCTGCTTGCCTTCACTCTTGCTGACGAGTTCATCTGTTCTGTGGCTGCCACTGCTGCCTTCCTTCGCTGGTATTAGAACCAGCTTCTTCAGGCTTCCAGTGTGGACTACAGATCAGCAGCTTTCCAGGAATCCTCCAGGCCATCAGTGCCAGATTGGGACTGCTGAGACAGCTAGCCTGTGGACTAAGTAACTGCCAGAGTCTCAGCCTCCCCCATGTGAGAGAACCATTATTAGATTATCCAGACCATGTTATGTAGGCCAATCCAATAAATCGCCTCTTAATAAATGTTTATTCTACCAGTTCTACACCTTTAGAGAACCCAGAGTAATACTTATACCAACTAGGTATAAAAATAATTGTAGCCTTAAATAGCATACCCCAGATAAACACAACAACTAAAGGAGAGTTATCTGTAAAGAATGCAACAGAAGACGCAAGCACTTCCGTGAAGGAATGGCATCAGATAGAATAAAATATTCGTGTTTAACTTTCACAAAGACACGAAAACATGCACTCCGAAAACTACAAAACACTATTGAGTTTTAAGGTCCTAAGTAAATTGGATGTACCATGTTCATAGATTAGTAGGTGTACTGAGATGGCTGTGCGTGTTACACTGATGGACAGATCCAAATGGTCCCTCTCAGAATCCCATGTGGCTTCTCAAAACCATCAATGGACTCTTTAGAATTGACAAACTAATCCTAATTTATATATATAATACATAAATTATTATATAATTATATATATACACACATATATAATCTATGAGTATGGAATTGAAAATGATCACTTTTTAAAAAATTTATTTTTGTGTATGAGCATTTTGTCTATATGTATGTATACACAGTGCCCATGGAGGCTAGAAGAGGGCGACTGATACCTTGGAACTGGAGTTACAAATGGTTAGCCGCCACGTGGGTGCTGGAATCGAACCTCAGTCCTCTGCAAGAGCAGCCAGTGTCTTAACCTGAGCCATCTCTCTAGCCCAGGGATCCTCTCTTTGTTAGATGCTGTCTTCTTTGTGACCTGTTTTTGTGTTCGGGTTGGTTGGAGCCTCTTTTCACTGTCAACAATGTTCTTGCAGCGAGGGTTTGTAAATGCGTACAGCTGCACATTTAAATCCATTACTGGCTGCGTGCATTCTGTCTGACCTCACCATCTCTGGCATAAAGGGTCATGCTGCTGATTCGTACTAAAATGAGCCCTGCGGAGCAGGTTCTGTTAGCCCAGACTGTACAGTGTTCCTTGCCGTGAGCCAGTGCACCAGGGAATACAAAGCCTTCTGGGGTATTTTGCCTTATCTGGGGATTGGGTACAGTGAAATGAAGTTCTGTATGACACAGGCCAAGAATGTGTAGTCTGGAAAATTAGCAAATACTGGTGTGGATAAAGTGCTGATGGTTAGCTGTAGACAGTACTTATAAAGAATTTAAAAGAAAACTGAAAATGATAAATTGTGCTTGCCAGTTGCCAGATACAGTTACCCTGTTCAGTGTCCCTTTTCATTAATGTTCTAAAATTTAAGACATTCTGTTATTAACAGCGAAGAAATGGTATGTATACAATTTAGTGCCTTTTTAGGTAAATGATGTGTCCTGGAGCCACATGTGTTTTTCGTGTTGTTTGTGACCACTGTGTCACAGTGTCCTAGCTTTCTCCTGATCTCCACTTGTCCGATCTCCTTATTGCAGGTCACCTGGCTGTATAGTATCCAGATAACAGGCTTGCTCCTTGTCTGCATTCTTCAGTTTTTTAACTCCATGATCCTTGGGTCGTTGCTCATCAGTTTTAACCTTTCAGTATTAATTGCAAGAAAACTTCAGGTAGGATTTTACTTTCTCAAACTGTTTTTTGTTTTTTTTTTCTTCTCAATTTTTATTCTTAAATTTGGTCTGTGTGTGTGTGAATGTTCATGTGAATGCAGTTGCCCAGGGAGGCCAGAAGAAGGTATCGGATCCCCTGGAGCTGGAGTTCCAGTTGGTTGTCAGTGCTCATATGCGTGCTGGGACCCAAACTGAGGTCTTCTGCAGGAGCGGTACATGCTCTTAAGTGCTGAACCATCTCTCCAGCCCCATAAACTGTCTGTTTAATAGTGTGGCTCACTGGACTTTATTTTCAAGTAGCATTGAAAGGAAAATGTATGACCCAATTCCCCACGAAAAGCACAGTAACATTCCATCTGCCTGCTTTCTGACATGCATGTTGAAGCATTTTTGTTTCACTCTCGGAGCACGTGTCATTCCTTAGTTTTAGCAATGATTATTTCTTATGCAATTGAAACCTCAGTTCAAGAATTAGCCAGAGTTGCTCTATCTGGATGCCATAGATCTGAGGTTATAAGAAAAGAGAAAAATTTGTGTGTCCTCTAGTGTGTTCATTGCAGCCGTTCCAGTCTGGGCACCTTGCTGTGTGATTGGAGTAAACAAAATCTTTTCCCCATTTTCCACATACCTTGTTACTGATTTTGAGGTGAATTAAAATGAACTGTTTTCAAATTTTGAAGAATGTAAATATGAAAATTTGAAATGTCTTGTAAGACACACACACACACACACACACACACACACACACACACACACACACAGCTTACCAAACAGTGGGATTTCATAAGGACTTTGCACACATCCTTAGTTTTAGTTTATCCATTCCCCATGCCCTTCTCTCTCCCACCCCCACTTAAACCTTCAACCCCAGTGTGCCCCCTCTTTTGTATCACTTGTAAACTTATTAAAATAGAGAACAAAGAAGTCTCATGAAGTAGGTTATATTTTCCACATATGTGTTCCTCCTGTGTGCGTGAGCCAGCGCTTTAAATCTTCAAGTAATCGCTAGTGTTTATAAAGTTAAATTTTATTTAAAAATTAAAACACAACTCTTTTAACTTCTAGAAAAACCTGAAAGCTGGAGCCTTCCTGACTAGGATTGGGAAACTCTTGTTACATTTGTTTCTAGTTTCCTGTTTGACACTTTTTCTCAACAGCATTATCAAGGTAAGTCACTAAGTGATATCTAATCCATTTAAAAATGTACTTAAGGTATCGGAGATAATTTTTGAACTTTTAATTTCAAATAGTTCTTATTTTATAAAGCACTAGACTCACTGAATAGTTACAGGTGCCTTCAGTAGGCTCAGCTTTACCAGTTCTGGTAGCATGGATGGTTTTGTTCATTTTAATCATTTCTCTTCACTCTTCTCTGACATGTTCTTCCTTGAACTCATCAAATTTAAGGCTCACCTTTAAAATCATGAACTGTTTCTCTAAATTTAAATAGTTTCCTCCGTGCATTATGGCATTACAAAAAAAAAATGAACACTTTTTTGTTGTTGTTGTTTGGGAGATTTTTTTTAATCTGTGTGTAGACCAAGTGACGTTGAACTCACTTTCCTCCTACCTCTGGCTGCCCTGTGCTTAGGCAACAGGCACGCACTGCCATGCCTGCCATGGGTTTTTACTGGGTTTTTCTGTTAGAAGGAAAGTGTGAGCTCAGCTTTGAAGGGCATTCCTTAACATTTAACTGACTTAAATTAACAACCCTGGGCTGAGGGTTTGTGAACTCAGGTCAAGACCCCAAGTTCTATCCCCAGCAATTAAAAAAAAAAAAAAAAAATCACAACTCTACATAGCAGAATGACTCTAGTCACTTGGCATCAGTTAGTTATATACTAGAGCTTCAGTAAGATGCTTATTGAAGTGCTCTGTGGTATTATTTCATTTAACATGGTAACCTTTTTATGGCTGTGTTTTGTTTTGAGGGGGCAAGCTTTACTTTAGGATAGAGCTCTTGGACTCTGCTGCCCCATCAGTTTTGTGATTTTTTTTTTTTTTTTTTTGGTTTTTTTATTTTTATTGTTGTTGTTATTTGTCTTTTTGAGACAGGGTCTCCCTGTAGCACCAGCTGGCCTGGAACGCACTATGTAGACTAGGCTGGCCTTGAACTCACAAGATCCATCTGCTGTGGACTAAAGGTATGCACCACCACAGCCAGTGATTTTAATACGGTGCTTTTGTCCCTCCTTGAAGGCTCGTCTCAGGGCAGGTGACGTCCATCCGTAAAATACCTTTGCTTCCCTCCACAAGAGGATTGCCATTGTCATTTTTGCCTATTGACTGTTTAAAAGAAAAAAAAAAACCCTTCAGCCAGCCAGAGTGAACAGTCGCTGTGTTCTTAAAGCCCGTAACAGGCTTCTCATTGGGGACTCAACCGACCTCAGTTCAAAAATATCCCCAAAAGGGACTAGAAAGATGCTCAGTTGGTAGAGTGTTTGCCACACAAGCATGAGAACCTGAGTTCAGATCACAGCACCCATGGAAAAATCTGGGCATGCTGGCATGTGTCTGTAATCCCAGCACTAATGATGCGGACAGACAGATCCACAGAGTTCACTGGCAAGCAGGTCTAGCAAAATTGATGACCTTCAGGTTCCGTGAGAGACCCTGTCACAAAAATAAGGTAGAAAAAAATCTGACATCAACATTTGGCCATTACACATACATATGTGCATATGCACACACACCCCATATTACGCTCACTACACGCCACACACACAAATCAGAAAAAAATCGTTTATACTGAAAATGTACAGACTTTTCTTGTTATGTTCCCTAAACAAGACAGTCTAACAACTGTTTACATCGTATTTATATTCTATTTAATTTGTACGTAATCTAGAGACGTTTTAACAAGTTCAGAAACCGGGCATGGTGGCACTGCCTGTCATCCCAGCATTCAGGAGGCTGAAGCAGGACATTAATGAGATTGAGGCCAGTCCAAGTTACCTAGTGAGATGGAGGGTTGAGGATGTAACTAGTGTAGACTGCTTGCTTAGCATGTGCAAGGCCCTAAATTCAGTCCCTAGCGCTGCAATAATAATAAACAACAACAATAGAAATAAAGAGTACAGAAGAGTAGAACTGAAATGCAGACGCTCTATGACGGCATATAGGACCAGAATGTCTGAGGATTGGGTGTCTGAGGGGATCCCTTGAACAATTCCTTGAGGATTCCAAGGTTGACTACTTAACCTGTAGCTTATATGAGCAGGATGGTCAGCATTTCTGGAATCCATCTACTTGCCCACCTCACACACAGTGGTCTGCTCTTAGATTGAGCCAGTAGACAGCTGTGGGCCTGAACGTCTATTTTTTGACACTCCAAAGGATAATCTATTGACCCACACTAGGTGTTTTGCCAGCGACCTATATTGCGTGAATTAGAAAGCAGTCTTTGAAACTCCCTGCTGCCTTAACTGGATCCTTGGGAAACATTTCCCTTGCGTCTCAGTTAGGATACCTTCTGAGTGATTGGTTAGCTTTGATCTTGTAGCCCTGGGAGTCACCCAGATGCTTTTGCATTTGCTGCTCGAATGCACAAGCTGGGTCTGTGCCTCCTTGCCAGTGTACTCTCAATTCTGGCTTCATTTTTTTTTCTGTGTTCCTTTTTCGTCTCATTATTTCTTCACCATTTTTATCACATGGATTTTATAAACATGAGTAAAAAATAAAGTTATGTCATTTAAAATTCTAATCACTGATGGTGAATGCTGGCACCTAGGGTGCCCTCCCCTTGAGCGAGGCTACCTATGAGGGAAACAGTCCTACAACGTTTATGTTTTCAGATCCCAAACCCAAAAGCCAGATGGGCTGTGCACCCACATTGGGCTGTGCACCTGCATTCAGATCATCATTTTGTTAGTTTTCTGTTGTAAAAAAATTCTGTCCTGGGGCTGAAGAGATGGCTCGGCGGTTAAGAGCTCTGCTCTTGCAGAGGACCTGGGTTCGATTCCCAGCACCCACATGGCAGCTGACAGCTGTCTATAACTCCAGTTCCAGGAGACCTGATACCATCTTCTGACCTCCTCAGGCATTGCACAACACAGGTGCACTTGCATACATGCAAGCAGTACACTTATACACATAAAATAAAAATAATAAAAAAATAAAATATTAAAAAAATCCCCACTCCCTGTGCTTCAGCCCTCTCTTCTCTGAAACCATATTCAGTGTTTTGCTGATTGAATCCGTGTTGCTATTTGAATAAAGGATTGACCTTTAAAGGAGAGGAGGTGGAGGAAGAGGAGGGGTCAGGAACTCTTATGGTCACTGACTAGCCTCTGATGCTCCTACTGAACTACACAGTGTACTATTCATTGAGGTTGTCAGGAAATCACACCCAGGGCACTAATAGCTGGTTTCCTTTTCCCTCAATAGAAAGTACTTAACCTGAAGTCAGATGAACACATATTTAAATTTCTGAAGGCCAAATTTGGATTTGGAGCAACAAGGTAGGATGGAAAACCTGTGGTGGTGGCTTCATGCTTTTGCATCTGCTGCTCGAATGTGCAAGCTGGGCTTGTGCCTCCTTGCCAGTGAATGTACTTTGTGTACTAATCTCAATTCTGGCTTCATTGTGGTGGTGGTTTCATGCTAAAGCAGTGGGGATGCCAGACCAGAGTCCCTGTCCCACCGGCAGAGGCTCAGCGCCTCTCACTTAGAGGGAGAACACTGTGGGTTCCTGGCATGTCTAGCATGTGATACCTTGCTCTGCCTTCCTTCCCCAGGGACTTTGATGCCAATCTCTACCTGTGTGAAGAAGCCTTTGGCCTCCTGCCTTTCAATACATTCCAAAGGCTCTCAGAGACCCTGCTTTTTTATGCGTATGTGTTTGTTCTGTCCATCACAGCGATCACAGCATTGGTTGTCGTTTTTCATAACCTCAGGTACGGAGACTCTCAGGACTTCTTAACACTCTCTCTTTAATGAACTTGCTCTGGATGGTGCCAAAACAGACAGACAACAGCAACAACAAAAGTTGAAACTAAAGATGGCCAATGCAGACCATAACCGCATTGTCCACCTATAAGGGGAACACACCTAGCTTAGAGTGGATGTGGAACAGACTAGGCTGGGGTCTAGTCACAGCTTTGTATGCCTTGGGGCGACGGGATCTTTTGAGCCACTTAAGTAACCTGTTATTATTTTTGTTTCCTTATGTAACGGAACAAGGATACTAAGAGTTCTCACTCTGGGACTGTTTATAATAAAATGCTATAAAGCTCACAAAGTGCATGCCAGGGACAGCTTGTAGGTCTTAGCTATGACTAGGTGGTAATAGTTTTGTTGTCCATCCGTGAGTCTGTTTTGTTTCGATTACTAGTTTCCTGTATTGGTTTTTGTTCATCTAGTTTTGGCATTTGCAGCCTGGGGTCTGCTGCCAAAGAGAGCTGTGGATGTGACACAGCACAAAATCATAAACTTACATAAAACATTAGGCGACAATTTGGTGATCTTTTTTGTAACTTTATCACGATTCTCAACGGAGAACTTAATTTTTATTTTTTTATGTGTATGAGTGTTATGCCTGCATGTGTGTAAGTGTATCCAAGTCATGCAGTCTCCATGGAGGTCAGAAGAAGGCATCAGGTCCCCTGGAACTGGAGTTACAGATGGTCATTAGCTGCCGTCTAGGTGCTGGGAATTGAACCTGGGTCCTCTGGAAGAGCAGTCAATGCTCTTAACCACTGAACCATCTCTCCAGCCCTTCCAGTGAGAACTTTATAGCTGATGACATAGGCTTATAAGCATAGCTCCTTGGGAGGCTGAGGCAGGAGGATCACAAGTTCAAGGCTGCTCTGGCCCAGGATGAGTTGAAAGCCAATGAGAGCAACTTAGACCATATTTCAAAGTAGCAAATGAAAATAAGGGCCAAGCATGAAGCCAGTGGGACATCACTTGTCCAGTGTGCTCAGGGCCCTGGGTTCGAATCCCAGTACTGGAAACAAATGAGTTAATTATTGTTCATTTGTTACCTCAAGCCTCCTGAAGTCGATGTGGCCTATAATTATGAGTCCATGCTAAAAGGTTTTTTTGTAATCACTGCTGTCATGTGTGCAGTCTATGAGAGGAGACATTAGGCAGTATGAAAATGCTGACAGACTTGCAGAATTTCTCCCTGTCAGGTGGATGGTTTTGCATTTACAATCCATGTTCAGTTGAACAAAATGAAGTTGAAGCTACTGTCATCAGTGACAACCTAATGAGGCTCCCAGGGAAAAACTTTTTGTCCATATAGTTCCCTAGCCAGTTAAGGCTGGTGACCTGGGGTTCCCAGGTACAAAGGAGCTGCTGTTAGCCTGATTCAGAATCACTTGAGGTATTTTATGATTATTATTATTTTTTAAATTTATTTAATTTGTATGCATGTTTTGCCTGCATATAAGTGCCACCACTTGTGTGCAGTGCCCACAGAAGCCAGAAGAGGGCGTTGGAGCCCCGGGAACTGGAGTTACAGATGGTTGTTAGCCACTATGTGGGTGCTAGGAACCAAATCTGGGTTCTCCACAAGAGCAGCCAGTGCTCTTAACTGCTGAACCATCTCTCTAGTCCCTGCCCTGTCATATGATTATTAAAAACAGAGCTAGAAAGTTAAGGTTAGGATGCTTCCTGCTCTTCCAGGGGACCCAAGTTTGGTTCTGGGCACTCACTTTGGTCCAAGTTCACAGCTCTGTACCTCTAGCTCCAGGAAGTCTAGCACCCTCCTCTGGACCCCACAGGCACCTGCACACACGTGGCATAAACACACATAAGTAAAAATAAAATCAATATTTTTTTATCAAATAAAAATATTTTGTATGGATAAGTGTTTTGCCTGCATGTAAGTGCACTACATGTGCCCAATGCCCATGGAGGCCAGAAGAGGTCACTGGCTCTCCTGGAATTGAAGTTATAGGTGGTTGTTAGTGACCATGTAGGTGCTGAGAACTGAACCTGGATTCTCTGCATAAACAGCCAGAGCTCTTAATCACTAAGCCATCTTTCCAGTCCCCAAATCATTCTTTTTTTAAAAAGAATAAAACAACACTAAACCATGAAAATGCTTGATTAACTATAAACTAGCTGAAGATGAAACTCTGTGGAGACTGAGGGAAGTTATTCTGGATGGTGTCATTTAATATTTACTGCAGGCACACAGGTCTGCAGAGAAGCATGTCCAGAGCAGGATGTCCAGTTGGCTTGCAGTATCTGCCATGCTTGGGGTGACTGTGTGGGCCCTCTCTGGAAGTTGATTGACTTTATGATTGTAGATAGGGGTGTTAGAGCACCCTCTTCTGCCCACTGGGGGTTTTAGGACTTTATTGGGAGAAATGCACTATGTGATGGAAGAACACCGGTGTCTTAATGTGTGAGTGAGTGGAGCGTGGTTTTTCCAGTAGCGGACACTCCAGCTTCTCCATCTTTTTAGTAGAGGGAAGAAGATGCCCCTCCCCACATACCATGCTCCTGCATGCCCTGGAAAGAAACTGACAATAAGAGCAAATGTTCTCCATGCCAGAAGCAACCTCTTAGTATCTAGACAGAAAGAAGCCAGTGTTTGGGTTTTGATGTTTAACGTGTGGGTCAAAGTGTGTACCGACAGGGAGAACTGCCTTAGGGTGTCATTTTAGGATTTCTGTGAAGCCATGGTGGTCCGGAGGCTTTGAAAGAAATAACAGTTGTCCTTTTACATGTTGGATTTGTATGACATAGATCCTTTATGAAAGTACTATTCTTGTCTTAAGCTAGCAGCCCTTTCTGTTTTCCCCTTGACAACAAATTGTACATCTGACTTCACTTGTAGCCTTACTCTCTATGAAGTGGAAGCCAGCTAGTGTGCGCTTCCAGTGGGATGTGTAGAGAGCAGGTTGTACGTCCATGCAGTGTCCTCGCCAAAGCCACAGCTCAAGCTGAGCTCTAGCTCGAACTCCAAGGTGACAGGAAACACGGGAACAGAGGCACATATTCCATAGCACCATAAGGAAAGAACTGACCAAATCCAGAGGTAGGAGGAGTTAGGGCCCAGATGTGAAATTGTCCTCAACAAATGAATGATCTTTGCTGGAAGTGGGGAGACACCTTTATAGACAGAAGAGAGATTGAGAAACACAGTGCCTATGCTTTGGATTCATATTAAAGAAAAACAAACTATCTAAAAAAAATGTTTACTGGACCTGGGGGTGCACACCTATAATCCTAGCACCCAGGAGGCTGTGGCAGAAGGATTGCCATTTGTAGGCCAGCCTGAGCTACATGAGACCCTGCCCCAAACCAAAAAAAGAACACAGATGATACTGAGAATTAGTGTTCATTTTACTGGTTGTGTAACTACTGTTCATAATGATTGTGCCAATGGAGCACCCTTTTACTGGGTTTACTAATAAAAATTAATCTGTTAGACACAAATAATGAGGTATTGGTAGGTTAAATGACCATTAGTTTATAAACTGAATTCCAAGCTTATGGATACATTTTTACTTTTGCTCATTAGTAAAAATCTGTAAAATACTGATAGAAACTCAGTAAAACATCTCGAAAGGTCTCATCCCGTTTCAGGAATTGCCAAAGGATTTGTTTTTTGCTATTCTCTGTTAAAGATCAAATTCTTTTACATTTTTACTTAAATTAAAATCTTCCATGAAATTTTAGTTATTTAATTGGAAATGCATTCATATTATGACCCTTTTGACCAAGGCTAACTCACTTCATTGAAGAGGAAATAACAAGATTTAGCTCAGTTTATGTCATGCATCCAGCTTTAATTTTATGTGTTTGTTTTCAGTGATTCTACAAGTTCACAGCCCGTGGGTAAAATGAGAATGTGCACAGTTGACTTGAAACCAGAAACTGCTTACAACTTAATCCACACCATCCTGTTTGGTTTCCTGGCTTTGAGTACAATGAGGTATTTCTGTCCTGTCTGATTTCTTTGATTTGATTTGACTACTCTTTCTTTGGTGTTACCTAGCAGTATGATTTGAAAACTGTCAATCATTTTCCTTAATTATTATATTCTCTGAAGACTGTCCTTGTGTCTTCTCTCCCTCTGTGAAAAATGTTCTAGTTTGATTGCTTGTTGCTGTGATAAAACATCGTGACCAAAAGCAACTTTCGGCGAAAGGGTTTATTTTATCTTCCAGCTCCATATCATAGTCATCACTGAGGCAAGCCAAGGCAGGAATTCAAGCAAGGCAGGAACCTGGAGCAGGAGCTGAAGCACAGGCCATGGAGGCATGCTGCTTACTGACTTGTTCCTCTGGCCGGTGCTCAACCTGCTTTCTTATACAATACAGAACAACCTGCCCAGAGATGGCACCGCCCACAGTGGGCTGTGCCCTCCTACATCAGTTAGCAAATCAAAGAAAATGCCTCACAGACATGGCCACAGGCCAGTTAGATGGAAGAAATTCCTCAGTTGAGGTTCCCTCCTTCCCAGGTGTTTCTAATCTCAAAATACTAGTTCTTTTTTCTTGGTTGCGAACATTCTCCAGTGTTTTACTTACATGGTAACTCCCACAAACCATGAAATTGATAATTAACCCTTTGGTGATGGGGTCTGCATAGGTTAATGAGATGTACTGTCACAGTGTGTGAGGTAACCTCGCACACCCTGCACCACTGACTTCCCCATCTTTGCTGTTTCAGAATGAAATACCTGTGGACCTCACACATGTGTGTGTTTGCATCCTTCGGCTTATGCAGCCCTGAGATCTGGGAGTCACTCCTGAAGCTGGTTCATCTTTATAACCCAAAGAGGGTCAGTGCCGCCACGTGTAGTGTCTCTAACATACTAGTTTTCCTTATTTGAAGTGCTTCGGTACTTGCCCCTGTGTTAGATAAAATGGACACAAAATCTGAAGCTTGAAATCACTGATAGGCTGAGCTTTGATAATGAATTGTTTTTAAGTTTAATTTTTTTTTGAGGGGGGGTCTTTTTTGAGACATGGGCTGATCTCACAGAGGACCTGGGCTTGGTTCCCAGCATCCACATGGAGGCTAACAACTGCCATAACTCCAGTTCCAAGGGATTTGACGCCCTCTTCTGGCCTCTGTGGGCATTGCACAACATAGTACACTTAGATACATGCAGGCAAAACACTCAGACACAAAATAAATTTAAGTGTGGCGCACGCCTTTAATCCCAGCCCTCGGGAGGCAGAGGCAGGCGGATCTCTGTGAGTTCAAGGCCAAGCCTGGTCCACATAGTGAGTTCCAGGACAGCTGGGGCTACAGGAAGACCTTGTCTCAAAAAGATAAAAAAAAAAAATAAGAAAAAATAAACTTAAAAGAATTTAGTGGAGCATAAGTCTCTAGTACATGAGATAGCTGAACTAACAAGACTTTGAGTCAGTGGTGAGCTGTCTGTTGCTTCTACCATGTCTCCACCAATGAACCTAAGAGCACAGAACACTCCAATTCATAGGCTGTTAGCACTATTATACTGTTGATTATTTAGTTTTAGGAAAATGCCTTGTAATAATAATAGTTCTAATTCTGAACAATGAAACTCCTGGTGAATTTTAGTTTCCCTTTTTGTGCTCTTTATTGCATTTTTACATTCTGTATGGTGAACATTTTAACATGTGGAAACATAAGTGCGTAAAAAAATGCAATTAACTACCAGCCTCCAGTGAACAGTCCCAATCCCACAGTCACAGAGATGGCTTTGGTTAAACTAAGTATGTCACAAAACAAAACCAAAAGTCATAAATCTAAGAAAGGGGCAGGTAAGGAAAAGGGGTCGATGGGGTGGGAGATGAGGGACTGTGGCAACAGAGAAACTAGAACACATTCTACACACATGAAACTGTCCAAGAACTAACTTGGTTAATAACAATATGAAAAGATAATTTTAAAAAATATAAGCCGGGCTTAATCCTGTTCTGTTGTGGTCTTTTGTGGTCTTAGAAAGCCATGCACTTACAAAGCAAAACTAAGGCAAAAGTGCTCAAATACTCATAATCTAAATAGTTTGTCTTTCGCAGACCTGTGTGGTGCGCTACTCGGTGCCGATATTAATACTGCTGTATCTATGCTATAAGGTAAGACTGGTCCCCCTTCTTGTTAGTCACATTAGCAGGACACTTGATTCTACTCAAAGTATTTCGCTTACAGTGTGGCAAAAAGAGGGGTTTGTGACACCGGTAAAGGCCTCCTCACGTCTTGTTGAGTTGGCAGTTAGAGGAAAACCAGTGTGTTTCCCGGACAGTTTCTAACAGGTAAAAGCGCTATAGCAGAACTTTGACTTTGATTGTTGCTCTTTAGCTGAAGCGAATTCTGAAAATGTTTTCAGATTTATTTTGAAAAGTAGAAAATTTTCTCCTGTTGCCTGGTTTGTGTAGAGGAAGACGTTTTAAAATATAACCAGCTTTAATCTCTGTTTTGCTAGATGTTTGTCTTCTTAAGAGAATTGGACACATGTAATGAGCTCGGTGTAAGGTTAGGCTTTGGCGGCAGGATGTGCTGGCACATACACAGTAGTAATTTCAAGCACTGTAGAGGCTGAGCTGGAAGGATCAAGAGTTCAAAGCCAGCCTGAGCTTGCAAAGGGACACTCATGTCTCAGAAAAAAAGACAACTTAAAATAAGATTAACCTTTCTTCCTCAAACTGAAGACACTGTGAATTAGGAAGTAATGGCAATTTTCATATTCCCTTTGACTTTCTTATGAAGCGCTCCCACTTAGAGACACTGGTTATTGATCAGATGTGCCACTTGGTGAGTTTTTGTTACATCTTTGAGATTTAAAGGCCTTAAATTATCACCTGGGCAAATAGCACTGGATTTAATCCAGTTGAACCCTTACCCTCTCTTAAACCAAAAACAAAACATTTAAGTTGGAGCACTGGTCTTGAGACTACTGTGTAGAAGATCCTAGACCCTGATTTGGCCGGAGGTCCAGAGAATCAGCTTAGCAGCTCGGCCTTTGGACTTGCTTCTATTTCCATATAAGATTTTGTAGCTCCAAAGTCTTAGGTTTGAAAGAGTGTCTTTGATAGTCACTGTCCAGTCAGAGCAGTTACCATTATAGGCAGCGGTCCAGTACAATTCTAGGAAATTTATTGCTTTTATGTAAATAAATGAATCTTTATAAAAGTATCTAGAAAGAAACAAGCAATAAGGGAAATGTTTAGAGAAGAATTTGTGACTTTACCTTTACACCTGGGCTGTGAGGCTAAAACCCCATGATCCCAGATGGACACATCATTGTTTCGCCGTCACCCCAAGAGCTGTGTGAACAAGACAGTCCTGTCTACTGCGTGTGTGTGTGTGTGCATGCGTGTGCATGTGTGCATATTTGGAAGGTATTGTGTAGTGTATGCATGATTGTGTGTGTGCCTATGTGGGTACGTGTGTGTGTGTGTATTATATGCATGGTGTGTATGTGCCTATGGGGATATGTAGGTATGTGTATGTGTGGTATATGTGTATGTATGTGTGGTGTATGCACACAGTTTAATGGGGTGATGGTATTTAGTCTACCATCATCTGCTACAATTAAGATTTAGTTGACTGATGTTCCATTAGATAAGGGGTAGATCAGACTGTTGGTTTTGCGTTGTGTCTGCATAACTCTAAGTATCTTAGGTTGACCAGTGGTATAAGTAACAATCAGATACATTGACTTTCCTGGAGAGTCCAACTTCCAACCATGCTTTCCTGTTGCATCAGCATTTATACCAATATGCATGGAACCATTTGACCCCAATTCTAGTATAATCATGACAGGTGGTAAGAAGGGTGCTAGTCCTGGGGTAGATTTGGAGGCTCTCTGCCACTTGAGGCCCTGACTGAGCCAGTCTCCTTTGAGCCACAGTTTCCAGACTGAAAACTAAATCTGGTGATGTTTCCAGGATATCATCCATCTTGTGGGCTATCATATGGCAAGATGAGACTCTATTGAAATGCTTTTGCAGCTTTGAACAGGTATTGTCTGCTGTGGATATGTCCGTTCTTAAGGGCAGATCACATGATGTTAGTCAATCTCATGTCTCTGATAAGCTCTGGTGATTGGTATTCCTGTCATCTCAAAATAACCTTCTACTAGATCTTAGTACCATGTGCAGTTGCGTTTTTATTAGAGCAACATAACAGCCCATCGTTAAAAGCTGACAGCACCTCTGGCCCTAATTAACTTCAGCCAGGATGATTCCGGAAACCTCTTGGTGGGCCTCAGCTGGTGCCAAGGTGAACTGTTCTGGGTCCCAGCTGCGTTGGCTCCAGGATAGTGTGCAGTCTCTCTCTCTCTCTCTCTCTCTCTCTCTCTCTCTCTCTCTCTCACACACACACACACACACGTGCGCGTGCACATTTAATCTTAGTGACAGTCACAGAACTAGATTTTGTTTTTGTCTTGATTTTTGTTTCAGTCCTGGCCGGGAATGATGGATGAGCTCTCTGAGTTGAAAGAATTTTACGACCCAGATACAGTGGAGCTGATGAACTGGATTAAGTAAGATGGATTTTTTTTTTAACTTTAACACTTTGAGTGTCTTTGTAGACCTCGGTTGTTTGGGGGAGGTTGGTTTGTTTTCTAAATCTAATTGTGAAGAAACATCCATCTTTATAAACCTCTCTTTAAAGCCTATATTTGAAATAGTTCTTCCACTTAAATATTCTGCTTGGCTGTGGTAGCACATGCCTATAATTACGATTTAATGGATGGGAGCTAGAGAGATGGCTCAGCAGTTAGGAGTACTGACTGCTCTTCCAGAGTACTAGGGTTTGGTTCACATGATGGCTAACAGCCATTTGTAACTCCAGTTCCAGAAGATCTGACGCCTTCTTGTGACCTCTGTGTGCACTGCATGACATGGATGCACTTACATCCACGCAGGCAAAACACTCATAAAATAAAAATAAATTTTAAAAAAGGTTTACTTAATGAAATTAGACTGATGTTCCATTAGATAAAGGGTAGATCAGACTGTTGCTTTTGTATCTGCATAACCTTAAGCAATGTAGGTTGACCAGTTGTGTAAATGACAGAGTCAGATATATCAGATTTTCATGGAGAGTCCGACTTCCATTCTTTTCCATTGCACCAGTGTTTATATTAACTTCTGGGCTCTGCAGGCATTGCATGTACATGGTGCACTTAACATATATGTAGGCAAAATGCTCATACACATTAAATAGGCATATGGGAGTGGAAAGGATTTACCCATTTGTATTGTTTTCTCAGTAGATCTCTGTTGGGTACCCTAGCATGGATAAGAGGCGTTACCTTGGTTAGTTCTTTACTATCTTTAGTTATCCCTTTGGAGTCATTCCGCATTCTGGGGATTTTACATGGAGTCTCTTTGTATCTTTTTATCCTTGATAAACTCAGGCTGCCTGACCCAGTACCTGGCTAAGGAGGCAGAGAGTCCCTCTTGTCCCTGCTGTACCTGTTTGTTCCCCCAGTCAGGCAGGCCCTGGGTCTGCCTCCTGGCTGTAGCCATATCCACCATCTCTACATTGATGGGGAGGCGGGGGGCCTGGCAGGAAAAACTGTCTCCGCCCCTAGGATAGCCTTTCTCAGGTGAGAAATGCACCTTGTTTAATCTTCGGGGTTCCTTAACCTCCCCTGGACAGGTTTTATCCCTTGTATGTCTTTTGTGTCTTTTGTGAACTGTTCCTTAGGTTTTAAAGCCTTCCTGAAACTCCTTAGTACAGAATTTGGTTTTTGTTGTCAATGTTTTCTTTAGGAACTTGGGCTCAACATAAATCTTGCCACATTTGTTTTCGAGTAACCCAAATGGACTTCTTTTTCTGCCTTGTCTTTTCTATGTCTTTTGTAGATTGTTCTACGTGTCTTACACGCTGGAGTCACTTAGTTCTGCCAAAGCCTCTCTTACTTTACAAAGATCCTGTCCCATTAAGGGACTTAGTAAAACCATTAAAGCTCCATACCATTCTTGAGGTCCCTGTTGAATTAAGCTTTTTTTCATATCTCTGGTGACCCCAGTCCTATCTGACCCAGCAAACTGGGCATCATATATTACTTTCCTTATACCTGGTTCTCTCAGTAATGCCTGTTCCTCTTCTATGGTCCTCCAGCCCCTGCTAATCATGGGAATCTCCACTGGTGATGACCTTGCACAAGCCATTCCATTAGGGACTGCTCCCTCCTGTACTGGTCTAGGTTAAACAGCCTATGTCTCAAGGACATATGGGTGGTTATATAACTCAGCTGTGATGCTTTTGGAGTCATAAGCAGGAGGATCATGAATTTGAGACCAGACGTGAATGAATGAATAGTAAGACCCTGTCTCAAAAGGAAAAAAGGAAAAGAAGTTTTCTCCCAACTATGTGCCCTGAAGAAAGGAAAATTGCCATTTGGAAGGAAACTAGATCATGAAATAAACTTCCAACAGTGATAGAAATGGAAATAAGATTTTACTTATTCTTGGGGCTACAGCAGGATGGCTCAGTGGTTAAGGGTGGGTACTGCTCTTCTCAAGGACTCGAGTTCAATTCTCAGCTCACAGCCAGCGCTAGGGGACCCGATGCTCTTTTGGTCTCTACAGGCACTGTACTCAGCTGCACGGACACACAACATGCATATACATAATTAAAACTAAGATCTTAAAAATACCTGTTTTTCGTAGCTGTGTTGGAAGTCAGTTTCTGTGTCTTGCTGACTTTTCTATCTTTGCTGTTTTCACCTGAATCCCGTTCACGTTCGCTGTTGATGCTGATGCATTTGAAGGTATTCTTTGCTTGTTCTCAAACGATTGCACAGACTGCAGCCAATTAGGGTCGGGAAGCTCGCTTCAGGTTTCCCCACAGCTCCCCACACTGTCCACGTTCTGGCTTAGAGAAAATTTAAAATACAGAGCTGGAACTTGTGAATGCCCTAGCATTGTGTGAGCTCTTAGTTTCTGCACGTTGTTGCTGCGCCTCATCCCTCAGCCTTACAGTAAGCTTTGTTCACAAAACCTGAATCACGGTGGCAAAAACTAACTTCTCTACATGGAGCAACATGCCTGTGCTCCATAGAGCTGCACTTCCCACTCTAGAAGTGGCAGTGTGTGTGATGCACAGGTGAGGCCACAAGGCACACCCGAACGCATCTGCACTCTGCAGCCGCATTGGTACCTGCCATGACTGGTGCTTATTAACCAGTACTGAACACGGTGCTGCTGTGACCTAAGAGATGCTAAATGCTTGATAGCTTAGGTCTCCTGAGTGCAGGACATGGATTTTATAGAGATTTATGTCTAAAATATGTGTGTGTGTGTGTGTGTGCGTGGTTTTGGTCCTAGTGTCAGACTGGGTTTGACTAGATGTGGTGAGTCTTTATTAACTTTAAATCATGGCAGATAATTGTGGAGTAAATAATTCTTTCAGTGTTTATTATATATAGGAAAGGATGGTTATTTGTATAAAGGAAAGCTAATTACTTTTGCATGGACTAACCAGTTGGAGGTTTACAGCACATGCATCTGAAGGTAAGGCTGGTCCTCTGTTTCCAGGGTCCCCCTTTGAAGGCAGTGTTGTGGGATGATTCTTTCTGGGAGCATCCTGTAGATGCCATACCACCTCTTCTCCCTGGGCATCATTAACATCTCCTGTGCTCCCCGCCTTTCCAGAGTTAATCATAGAACCAAGATAACTGTAGTGGAACCCAGGGATATCTCTGGCTGTCTCAGACTTAATGTCATTATCCATAATGCCTTTATTTTCAAGCTTTTCCTCAGAATATTATGTAAAGTAACATTTGTGGATCTGCGAAGTTGGATGAGATGCTGTTCACGGTCTAAAGAAGACAGCGTTGGTCTGTTGTCCCCTGTTGGGGGTGGTCCTTGCTTCTTAGAGTCCCCTTCACCGGCAGGGCCTCTCCTCATCAGTGCCTTTGCTACATACTGCTTTGACTTGATGGCTTGGGGATTTTGGGTGGTGTTTGGGGTTGTTTTTCTTTAATTCCCAGTAAGTGGAAGATTCATATTGTTCTATAAAAATTTGGCTCCATTGTGGTCTAATCTTGCCTGTTTTCTCCTAAAGTCCTTCAAATCTGAATTACCGTTTTTGTAAAAATAGCTGCTTGGCATGTTTGTAAATTAAGCTTAAGTGAGGATGAGTGTGTGCCAAAGTAGGGTCTATTTAGACACAAAATATGTTTGTTTAAATCAACATTCAAATCAGCTGTGGTTCGTGAGCTTTGATTTTAACTGCGCAGGAATACATTTAATATTCTTTTCTCCTTTTTTAGTACTAGTGATTGGACCTGGGGCTTCTTGAGACCCTCTACCACTGAGTCCCGTTCCCAGCCCTCTTTCTACTTTTTATTCTGAGATAGGGCTTCACAGAGTTGCCCAGGCTGGCCTTGAATTCACATTGTAGACCAAGCAGGCCTTGGACTTTGAGCTTCATGTCTCACCCTGTGGAGTCGCTGAACTTCGGCCTTTGCCGCCCACCCTTTAACAGTCTGTGAACCTTTTCTGATTCCTCTGTCTTTGAAACCGAAAACGTGACCTCCAGCTTTGACTTCTCTGTGGGAGTTAGTCACAGGATGTATGTGAGCTGACCTGGAGAAGAAGCTGCAGCCAGGGCCCCAGCCCTGTCGCTGAGGGAGAACGGCTTTGTTCTCCAAGTGAGCACCCTCAGATGCCGCGTTCTCAGTGAAGTCCTGTGGCGTCTGCTGGCTGGGGAAGACACACCTGTACAGGGTGGCTGTCCCAGGAAGGACGTGCAGAAGTTCCCGGGGACGCATCAGGAGGCCCTCTCTGCTGGCACAAGAAGATTCTCCTGCAGTGTGGAGAGGTTTACCTGTCACCCAGGCTCTACTCCATGGGAGTCATATACCTGCATGGGCCTCACTGCCGAGCGCCGAAGCCATACAGCTGCCATTGGAGGCCTGGGCTTCCCTCGTATTCTGAGGCCTTCCCCTCTGTGGGAGTTAGTGACTGTTCCAACTTTAAAAAAAATTTATTATTTTTATGTGTATGAGTGAGTGTACTGCCGTGGTGGTTTGTTTGAGGGTTGTTCGTTTGTTTGTGATGTGAAGTGCTAGGGATCAAACCCATAGCCTCCTGCGTGCTTAGTAAGTGCTCTGCCACTGAGCTGTATCCAGTCCCATTATGATGTTTTGATGTAGACTTAGTGCTGCCTTGTGCTTTCCTTCGTGTTTTTCTGTCCTCGTGTGTGCTCATTCTCCCATGAGTTTCAGTACCAACCTGACTGTCTCAAAAGGGGCGGAGAATGCTTTTTGGTATTTTTTTTTAAATGCATATGAATGTATTACCTGCATGTGTGTAAGTGGACTTGTGTCATGCAGTGCCCACAGAGATCAGAAGAGGGCACTGAATCCACTGAAACTGGAGTGATGGACAGTTGTGAGCTGCCATGTGGGTGCTGGGAATCCAACCTCCACAAGAGCAGCTAGTGCTCTTAACCACTGAGCCATCTTTCCAACCTGTTCCAACTTTTAAAATTCATTTTATTTTTATTTTACATGTAAGAGTGTTT